TCTACAATTTATAAAGCGCTGGTATACACATACAGTTTCTAAGCGCTTTAAAAACAAATGAAAATTACGTTAAAGCCTTAATTTAAAAAAAAGAATTGAAATATATAGTTAAAATGTTGTATTCTTGATTCTAATTCTAATTATTTATTTATTCAAATCATGAATATTTATTGAAGCATTGGTTAACACCAAGTTTGCTCTTTCATTGTCAGATTTCAAAGCCTTCAAGCAACATGGATGTAACCTAATATTATTTAAGGAAATGGCTTAGTGTACAGATAGTTCGTTCAAATAAATATAAAGTGAATTGAGGTTTACATTGCACATTGGATGTATGAAAGAATCACATCATGTTTAAAAAAATTAACAAATCAAACATACAGAGCCTAATTCGATTTCTAAACTTCGCTCGCATACAACACCATACATTTGCTGAAAATATTCCCTTCTCCTTTATTTTCTTAAGGTTCAGTTCATTCAATAGGGCTGACCACCAAAGTACATGCAGTCTCGGAGACTAACAACCCTACTCAATCTACAAGAGAGCTTGTCACTACTAAGTTTAGTACCAACATATATTCTACTCTTTCTTCCGGAGCATCAACTCAGTCAGAGACTTGTACTTGTTCTCCAAAAGGTAAGTCTGATTGAGTTTCTTGAAATAAAACTGAAACATCCATGATAAAAAAACAACATGTCATCCCAAAAGACCGACAGCCCAGTAGACTGACACAGGCGCGGATCCAGGATTTCTTAGGGGATTTCTTTTTTTGGTCCTCATAAATTAAAAAATTTGCACCCCCCCCCCCCTTGAGCGCCAAGGACTGACAGACCAACAGAAGAAAGAAATACATAGAGAAAAATATCGAAATATTGGCTGTCAGTTTTGTGGACTGTCCGTTTAGTGAACCCTCCACAAAAAGTTGTCCAAAGGCCCGAAAGACCGAAATTGTCGGTCTCATTGGCTGTCTGTCTAAAAGGCTTTAGACTACAGAGATTTCACCTTCTGTTCAGTCACTGTGTAGTAGCTAACTTGAGAAAGTGGGCACATGGAAATGAAAGGCAAGGTTTTTTGTAATTATTATACACCATACCTGATTTAAAGCAGAAATGCACCATTCTCATGTGAAACAAAGTAAAATTGGAGGGAAGCCGTAATATGTTGTTACATGTGGGATATCTTTTTCCCCTTCTTTTTACAGGAGTGCAAATTGGCCTGATTGTAGTTGTTGTATCCCTGTTGCTGTATGCAGTTGCTATTACTTTCTTGCACATTCAGTTCAGGTAATTTTAGTATCATGCAATTTATTTTAGCCTTGTTTTTCACCTTTTACGAGTAATACAGGCAAAATGAGCAACTATACAACCATAAAGAGATATCCTAGTATGCACCACGAAAATACTGGGTTTTTAGGTTATAGCACTTTACTACTTGTAACAAGATAAGTCAGTTAAATTGTCATCTGTTTGACACATTCAAACTAGACTCACACTTAATACGTTGAGGTTTTTTTTAAAGATGTAAGTGATAAAATAAATAGGTTGTTCCGAATCAGTAATGATTTTGAACATTGCAACCTTCTTTTTCCATTGCAGTTTAGGTTTACTACTAATCTGTCGTTGAGTTTATTCATCATAAAGTTCATGAATTGATCGAGGGATTTGATTATTACCCCTGTGGTTTTTTCTTATCTCTTTTCATGGTTTACTTTTGAGGGATGAAGGTTATACATTCTCAGAACTTTATTGATCAATCATTTATTCTTCATCAATCAATCAAGTTCTGAGAAAATATCAACTTTATCTTTCAAGAATAAAACATATTATCAGAATCATTTCTTGAAAAAAGAGATATTCAAACTTTTTGGGCTACAGAATAAAAGAAATATCCATTGGCAAACAGGTCTCTTAAAACGCGTTTCTTCTTGATCAAGGAACGTTCCCTTTAAACATATTGGTCTTTCCCTTTTTTTTAATAATTCTGACAGAATGTATAACTATTTGATTCTAAATGAATGATACTTCAGTGATTGGAATTCGTTGAATCAATATAATTATCTTGATATTTTATACTAATTGAAACTAAACAAAGGAGATACGTGAAAGTCATTGAATAAATTGTGTTGATACTGATTATTGTAAAGGCCTATGATAATTATTATTTCTTACGTTTTATAGATTGGATATGGTATTTTTTTGCGGGCAAATGACTGCTATATTTCCTTTCAGTTGTTCAATAAAAACAATTTGTAATAATAATAATAATAAAAACAATAATATTTGGGGAATGAAATAGCGCTTAATGCATGTTAACCGGCTAAGATACCCGCTTTCTCCACTCCATGGGAAGCATTCCAGAGAGGCGCTAACAATACTGAGCACTGAAACTACAATGACTTTTGCAACCTACCGGGTACCCATTTAACACCTGGGTGGAGAGTGGTGAATGTGGATGAATATAGATTTATTCGTGTAATTTCTTTTTCTGTAACAGGCGCAAAGTACGAACCGGGACTGGAGAGAACGAACCAGATCCTTACATGGACCTACAGCCCAGACCTGAGGCAGGCAGGACATACCAGGAGGTGGCTATCAACTCAACGGCTTCGTCCAAAACACCAGGAGAAAGTCGTCTACCATCATCAAACCTGTTTTATGAGAACCAGAATGTAGCGCAGTACGCAAACAAAATAAAGGAGGGTGCTGATTATGAGGATGTACTTAACCCAAATTAAGACAGTTGGAAGCTTCAGAAATACAAAATTTGCTTTTCAGCAATTTTCCGTATCTTGATTTTCATTTATAGGGAACAACATAAATGGATAAAATACGCAAGCGATAGAAAATCCCGCATAATATCTTAATTGAACGATACTATACTTAGGCAAAAGTAAACCAGAAAATATACTTTTAACATCTAGAATTTAGAAAAGTTATGAAGAATATAGCTTATTGTATTAAAAGATATAGTTATATTCTTAGTATACTGTGTACGTTTTGCTTTGAATATAGTAATATTGTATAATTGAATTTGTGATAAAGTCTTGTACACCATGCCACAGAACCTATAAAGGAGAACTAAACCCAAATAATAAGTGTAGGTATTCTGTAAAACGACATGAATACCTGCCTTTGATGTTCAATTAACCTTACGAACGTGTACAAGAGATATATAAATGAAGATTTCTTTGCATGGCCATGGGCGCAGCCATTTCTTGAAAATGTGACGCACATGTTCCAGGCGGAGTTTTATATGCACCAAGTTTTAATTTGAAAGACTTTTTAGTAATCATAGACCATGTATATATTATATCATTATATCTAACGTGTCTTCAAAGTGTTTATATTGTATATTTAGAACATGCGTTGTTTTTAAATGTCTGTTCTTCAGATTCTAACTTCATGAACGTTACATAGAATGTTAAACAATTTATACTACGACTATGATATCATTTATGAATTTTTCATGTAAACATACTTCCTCATTCCAGTAGCATTGTTCAATACGTGACTGGTCTATCTAAAAACACCGTTGCACTATTCCTAACCTTTCATTGCAAAGACGAGTTTATGGGGAATTGTGTTTCAAAATCCCCTTTTATCACCTTGCCTTCTGATTTTGAAATGCATGTACAGGTACATCTATTACAATTGGCAGGTTATGATCCGACTGGTTGACATTTCTCACTTATTCATATTATTACCTGATTACTAAAGCATGGGATGGAGTTAGTCTTTAATAAAGATGCTTCCAATTAATTCCAGTTAATTCTCTAATATTTTAGTTTATTGTTCAACATAAGTCTAAGTCTCAAAATTTGATGATATTTTGTTTAAAAAATTCATTTTTTTTTATTGCGATTGAGATACAAAGCTGTGACAATAAAAAATTAAAATAACTTTAATAATGTCAATTATAGCAAAGCAACAATAACAAAAACAATTATGATGGGATATCACACAATTCCATTCAGTGAATAATTGTGTACCCCTGTAGAAAGGATAGGAAAAGGGGAAAGGTGTACAAAATAGCTCTTCATTGAAAAGTGAAAGTGCGCATGTAATAGAGAGAGATGGAGAGAGAGAGAGAGAGAGAGAGAGAGAGAGAGGGGAGGGGGCACCCTTCCTCCCGCAGGATCTTCGCCACTAATTAGATGATCAAATTCTTGACCTCTTAGAAAGGAATGATATTTTTTTCGAAACAATTTTCCAACGGATCTCCTCCCATTTAGAGATAAGTAAACTTTTCACTGTAATTCATTTCGTTTGCTACGAAATTCTCGTATTCCCAATATGGTTGACGGGTACCACTCAGTTCCAGTAGTTAATGGGCTAATATTTAGTTCGGTTTACTTCCCCTTGGTTTCCACATTAGAAAAGCAACTGATGGGAACTAGTTTATAAATGCAAAATAGAACATAATATAAAATGAAGCAACACAATTGAATTATGAGGCTGAATTAGCAAAGAAAAGCACTGAAATGTTTGTATTAATGTTTCAGATAAGGGTGTATCTTCAAGATACACAATGCCCACAAAATCTGATGACACTTTGTTTTGGTGTTTGGGTTTTTCCCCAAAGAAACCGCTCAGTTTGGGGCGCTTTAAGGAGAAATTAAAGGAATAGTGGAACGAAATATATCTATTTTTGCATTTGTTAAATGGACATGCGTAGAAATTGATATGTAATTATAAGCCTTCACTACATTCGCTGAAATGAAGTTCGTAAAATATTACTCAATCAGACTTTATGAAAGGCAAATGGCCCTGTTTGCTGCTGCAGATTGCATTGACTGTGATCATTAGAGCATGGCACAACAACTGTAGAGAGTAATTATATCATTGAAAAGATGAAATTCTTATTCATTCATTTCATGGGATCCTTTGTGTATGCTACGGGAATTGATCTATTGGCAAGTTTAGACCGGGCGCTGTGTGTCTGGAGTACACACACACACTAAGGACAAGCTATAATACTTGGAGTATCAGTATGGGGTATGTTTGGAGTATGCCGTATTAGAAAGGTTATAATCTTTGAGAAGCTTTGCATTTGTAGATGTAACAAGAAAGTTGTTCTTTGACCAGTCAAAGCTCTTCCTGTTTGTCTGTGTAGGAGGAATCATGGAGTTGAAATATTTTTTCGTGACTGCGGCATACATTCTGACTACCTGTGATCTGGTGCTGGGTGCTAATACGATTATAAGTAAGTAGCCATGTAAACTTCATAGCAATGACTTTTGAGTACATTTAGTGGTAATATTCATTAACCCGTCAAACGAAATAATTCACACTTTCTGTACGAATAATCATATCGTGAAATTGTAGAGAGTTGTATATGATGGGATCAGGCGCGTACGCAGGGGAGGGGGGGGGGGTTGGGGGTTTAACACCACCTTTAACATTTTTAATGTGTGTGTTTTGGACGAAAATAATTGGTAACTGGTGACCCAAAAGAGCAGACTTTACCCCCCCCCCCCCCCCAATGCCGATCGGCCACATTTTCAAATTTTGGGACACACACAGAAAAAAAGTACTCTTACCCCCCCCCCCCCCCCGCGCTTATTTAGCAACCGGCTGAGTCGATACGAAAATTTCGGCCCGATTTAAAAATGTTAACCCCCCCCCCCCCTTGAAAAAATCCTGCGTACGCTATGGATGGGATGTATTAATAAGATAAGAATGCGCCTCTGTTAAATTCAACAATGTTTTTCAGTGACTAATCATGTTGATGTGAAGTCATAACATGGAACACTGTGAAAGTTTATTGCAATTATGAAGTGCATGAAGCTTTTCTTCATTGGATTCCTTATTCTGAGAAATATGCGAAGTACGTGAAACAAGAATGACGCAAAATATTCATATTCGTTTAGGTAATTTTACGTCTCACTTTTTAAAAGTCATTTGTGGAATAAAAATAAAAAAACATATTCTATGCTGGCCCTGCATTTTAGCTGTATTACAAATCGTAAATTGTCATTTCGTCCAATTACATTTCGTCTAATCAATATTGCATCTTACGATATTTTGTCCTTTCCCAGTTCATGTACTCCGTATGTAGTCTAAAGACCATCCGCCTAATCATAGTTTTGTCCAGTTTAATACCATCCCGTCAATCTCTATTCGGGTTATACACAGTTGGTCATGCCCTACAGTTTTAATTTCTACCCCATCTACCATACAAATTTGTGAGTAAATTGCCAGACCAAGATTTGTCTTTTCACTAGTCTTTCCTGTTTCATTCATTGTTTTGGTTGAATGTATGCATTTTTTCAAATAAAGAGTACTTGCATGGGAACTTTTTTTGTTTTATTTAGTCCCTTTTTTTTCGTGCATTCCTACAAGTACTACAAATTTGGAATATTTTTGAAAATACAAAATCAATGGAACTTCGAACATGAGACAATGACGTACTATCGCAAATCTTTCGCTTCACAACCCCATTGTTCATTCATATCAGAAGAAACAAAATCCGCAAAGTTGTATTTTTCAGCCATTTGCTGTTTGACATTGTATCAATCTCTCTCTCGCTCCTTTCTCCCTCCCCCCTCTCTCTCTCTCCCCCATTCTCTCCATATCTCTGTTTCTCTTTCACTCTCTTAAACATTAACAGATGTAACGCTGGTGGATGGAGAGACACCAAACGAGGGACGTGTAGAATACTTCAGATCAGAAGAATCTACCTGGGCTTCAGCTTGTGGAGCTGGTCTCGGTTCTGCGGAAGCATCAGTTGTGTGCAGACAACTCGGATACCCGGGAGCCAATAACTTTTTAGCTCGGTGGCCTTTTGGAGATGGAACTACTGTTGCACAGGATCGATTGAACTGTGATGGGAGTAAGAAAGTTTTGTATACAATGTTATCCCATGTCGTTTCTATTCAATCATATGAAATTAAACACAATCGTACAGACTTGGTAAAGTAAAATACATGTAGTACCAAGTGTATCATAAAATAATCAAATTAATATATTTCTTCTTCTGTGTCGTTGTAAAATACAGATGAAGATAATCTTGCAGATTGCCCACTGGTATCCACAGCATTCTGCAGTAACAAAGGAGGAGTGAGCTGTTACGGTAAGACATAGTTTTTTAACTTTAATAATGCATTTTTTAAATAATCATGCACACATTATTTTGTACAGCCATGACAGTGGCCGATGTTCGGCCAATGGGTAATTTTGGCAGAGGTTTATAGAATATCAACTTATTTTTTCATAATTTCCTACCGATTCAGTTCAACTCGAACCTGAGACTAAAATTAGATTTACCCTGAACACTTTACTCATATTATTAATTTTCTTTGTTAAACTTTGTTTTTGAGCACGAAGGGTTTCTGGAGAGCCTTATAAACTGACTTGTTTTGAAGGAATTCACGAGGCCGTTCTGCTTTCGTTTGTTTTGGGGATTGTTTGGGGCTTGTTCCTTATTGTCGCAATATATGTTAATTTAACACGTAGATAAATATTGATTACATTATTTTATCATTTCTAGGTAAATTGTTCTTATATAATATATATATATATATATATATATATATATATATATATATATATATATATATATAATACATACAGCCTTACTTTAGAACATTCTATATTCTGACAACATTGTCAGAATATAGAAGCAAGTGACTGGTTTAAATTTAAGTAGATTACGGGCCTTTGTTTTCTGTTCGGTCAATCACTTCTACCTCTCTATTTCTTCAATTTTTCTGTTTTTATTGATAAATAGTGAGTGACAGAGGGGAAATATGTTAACATGTACAAACTAAATGCGTTTTAAGTTGATATAGGACAACATTCACTGTACATTAAAAACGATCGCAACTGCATGTACTTCTTAATAACCAATTCAATAGCAACGTCAACACCCTTTTTAAAAATATACATGTATATATCAACAAAATTGTGTACGATTTAGGTAATACTCTTTGTCATTTCGCACATTTCAAAAGGTGACGCGTAATGCTGTTAAAATTGCATTGAGTTGATTTTTCAAACATTCCAAACATATCGTATGGTAATTAATCCTATTCTTAGAAATATTTTGCTGAAAAGAACAAATATCCTTTTTCGGCAAGATATCAACTGATATCATTATGTTTTAGATACCTGGCTATTCTTTTGTTCACATATGTAGGGCTGAAAACAATGGCGTACATTAAAGATGATTTGGAATTTAAATTCCGTGTTGATTTATCTGGATTCAATTCAGGGTATGAAATTGTTTTTGTTTAAATAACAAACTTCAGTAAAAAAAGATGATTGTTGGATGTGTATATAGGGCTCCTAGCTATGAGAGTACATCCTTTCTGGAAAACTTAGAACATCAGCTACAGATATTGAGTAGAGGGTGACTTCAACATCAATATATTGAATTATGATAATGATCGTATTGTTACAGATTTTGTAGATTGTATGTACTCATTTGGATTATTTTTTCTTGTCACTTAACCTACCCGTATAACTGAATTTAGTGCAACATTGATTGACACTATTTTTACAAACTGCATTCAAACTGAGTTTAGCTCGGGTGTAATATGTTTAGATATTTCAGATCATATGCCTATGTTTTGTGTAAAAAAGGTCTCTGTGGTAACTTCTGTCAAGAGAGATGGACAAGTTATGAAGCGGTCAATAAATGATGAAAGATGAAAATGAACATTTTTTTTTTTTGGGGGGGGGGGGTCCTCGAAAATTTTAAAATTTGCACCCCCCTCCCCCCCCCCCTTGAGCGCCAGGGGGGGGAGCCCCAAAAAGGTAAAAATCGCGTGATTTTGCATGATTTTTTTCTCAAGGGGGGGGGGGGGCCGGGCCCTCCGGCCCCCCCCCCCCCCTGGATCCGCCACTGGTATACACAAATCTGACCGTAAAAACGTCATTAATTATGGGCCAATAGCATTGTTACTAATTTTTGTTAAAATTCTTGATATTTTTTTTTATAAACGCTTAAAATGAGTTTTTATCTCAAATCTCAAATTTCTATCTCAAAAGAATATCTTGATTCCTCATGCTAGGAGTCCACTGGGCCGCGCCAGTTGGCGCCAGTTTGCGCCAATGCAATTTACTGTGGCGCCTAGTGTCGCCAATAAGGTGCCTAGTGGCGTGTAGTGGCTCAAACTGCCTCCCAACTGGCTCGTGGTGGCCCGTAACGGCACCAAATTTGAATGTGGCGGCAAGAAAATTTCAAAATGTTTGAAATTTTCGTCGCGCCACTTGCATCGAGCAATCAGCGCCAAGTGTCCGCCAAGTGGCACCAAATGGCGCGAACATATCGCCCTTTGGCGCAAACAATCCGCCTATTGGAATCCACTGGAATGTAATGGCGCGCGCCAAGTTGCGCCAATGAGATTTCGCGCCACATGGCGCCACTTGGCGCCAAGGGGCATCTTGTTTGCGCCACTACGCGAGCCAAACGGCACCCGATTGGTGACTACTTCGCGCCAAATTCCACCTGATTGCCCGCCATTCGGCGCCACTTGCCGCCTATAACAGCAGGGCAGCATCGCAGGACTTTCTCACAGTGATGGCGGCAGTTCTCCAAGCTCTAGGGATGAGGTTGTGCTGGGCATCCTCCTGGTCCAACATGCGGACGTCCCATGCCTGATAGTGCTTCCTGATGAGGTTGTTCAGCATGACGGCAGCTTCAACGAGCAGGCGGACTGTGTCTGGTTCCTGTCTCATCTGGCCAAGGAAGCACTGGAACCACAGAGCCAGAATGCCAAAGGCATTTTCAACCACACGCCTTGCCCTGGACAACCTGTAGTTGAAGATCTTCTGCTGCTGTTACGACGACCATAGGGCTTCATCATGTACGTCCTCATGGCGAAGGCATCGTCCCCCACGAAGAAGTACGGCATAGGGTGCTCTTCATCATCATGGGGAAGAGGAGCTGGATCTGGGATGCCTAAAGTGCCAGCTTCAATGCACTCCTTCAGTTCACTGTCGTTGTAGATCTGGGCATCAGACTGATGGCCAACCCCACCCACATCGATCCACATGAACTGGTACTTTGAATCTACCAGAGCCATCAGGACAACCGAGAAGAACTGCTTGTAGTTGAAGTAAAGGCTGCCTGATTTGTTGGGCTTCTGGAGATGGATGTGCTTTCCATCATAGGCTCCCAGACAGTGAGGAAGATTCCATCTGGCTTCAAAATCCACTATCGCTCTGGCTACATCAGGGACAAACTTCTGGATGGTTTCCTTGCCCACTCGGAAGTTGTAAGACAGCTCGGCATAGGTGGGTGGCCCCAGTGGCGAGATGGCGCAGGAAGACGGACAACTTGAGACCAGGGGGAATGGCCTTCCTGAAGTGGGTGTCCTTCTGCAAGTGGGCCTGACCAATAGGTCATCAAACATCTCTGGGGACACCCTGGTGTAGTTCTTGAACTTCCTCCTGTCATTCTCCCTCAGCTCTTCCATCAAAGTGTGGTACTGTCCACGTTCGGCCCTCAACTGTGGGTGGAGCAGGGGTCTAAACCACCAGTTGGGCTTCCTTTTCTTCTTAGGAGGCTCTTCTTCTTGAGGATTGGCCAGCATAAGTTGATAGGCAGTGGCCACCTCATCATCTCTCATCATCTTCTGATGGAGCAGTATATCATCACTCCAACATTATCAAAAGCCTCAGACATATCAAAATTGTAAATATTTAGTAGAGATGTTGTTCATACAGCAGCTGAGGAGGGTCTGAACCAGGTAGCCGATGGCCGGTATTTATATAGTCGGCAAGTAGCGCCAAGCGGCGGCAAGTTCAAACCAATTTGGCGACCTTTGGCACAAACTAATCACCAAGTGGCGCAAAATAGCCGTCTGTTGGCGCGAATGGCGCCAACAGGGTGAATTTTTTAATCAAATGGACTCCTAGCATCAGCAGGGAGGTTTCCGTAAACACTTCTCCACACAAATGGGTGTGTTTAATTTATTAAGTAATATCATAAAAGTTATTGATGGAGACAAGTATTGTTTGGGGATATTCTTAGATCTATCTAAGGTGTTTGATACCATTGACCATGGCATCCTCCTTAATAAACTTGAGCATTATGGAATACGTGGTGTAGCATTGTCTTGGTTCCGAAGCTATTTGTTTGACATTGTTTGTTTGGGTATTAGTACCATCGTACTAATATCCAACTTGCTTACATATGGTGTACCTCAGGGTTCTGTTCTTGGTCCCCTGTTGTTTCTGATCTATATAAATGATATAATACACTTATCAACATTATTCTCATACTCACTTTTTGCTGATGATACCAGTTTGCTGTTGGCTGATAAAAAGGCTGAAGATTTATTATTAATTGCGAATCAAGAGATTCAGAAACTGTATGCGTGGTATTGTAATATTGTCGAATGTTCAAAAGACCAAATGTGTTATTTTTCGCTCAAAGGGTAAAAAGCTTCCAGATGGCATTACTTTTCTTAATGTTAGAATCCATGATGCTGCGCTTAGTGAAAATGTTCAGTTCTTAGGGTTAACCATTGATGAGCATTTATCTTGGAAAAATCATTTAGATACTGTATGCACAAAGTTGTTCCGAAGTGTAGGTTTCATATTTAGATTAAAATTTATTTTACCTGAAGGAGTGCTGATAACATTATATAATAGTATTTTCTTCCTTTTTTGGCATATTGTAATGTTGCTTTGGGAAACACTTGTAAGTCGAGAGTATTGCAGAAGAAGGCAATACGGCTTATTACTAATTCTTATTATAGACATCCAAGTTCTCCATTGTTCCTTCGACTAAGAATGTTACAACTAAGTGGACTTGTGTCGTTCAATTGCATATTGTTTATGTTTAAACTTAAGTCTATGCCTTATGAATGTACGTTAACAGATTTATTCCGTCTGAACTCTCAAATTCATAATAAGCGAGTTCGTAAATAGCTCTGGAACGCATGACCCCAAAATATCCACAGATCTTTGACACGATGGATACTTCCCAAGTGTGCATTTTAGAATAATCACTGCCGAAGTGATGGAGGTGCTTCATGAACACCTTTTGTTT